CCAAAAAAAAAAAAAAAAATTTTTTAAAATGATAATTTTTTTTTTTTTTTTTAAAAAGGTTGGCCCCCCCAAAAAAAAAAAAAAAAATTTTTTAAAATGATAATTTTTTTTTTTTTTTTTAAAAAGGTTGGCCCCCCCAAAAAAAAAAAAAAAAATTTTTTAAAATGATAATTTTTTTTTTTTTTTTTAAAAAGGTTGGCCCCCCCAAAAAAAAAAAAAAAAAAAAAAAAAAAAAAAAAAAAAAATGAGAACCTCGAGTTATTATGAATGTATTTTTTGAAATATAAAGTCGAAAAGAGCAGAAATTTCTTTGGCTTTATATTTTTCCGCTCGCTGAAAGCATCTGCAGCATTCAGCGGTGTTCGTTAGTCGCAAAAAGTCGAGGCCGCTTTGCCAGTACTCGAATACGCTGTGAAGAGTTCGCTATTCGTCGAGTTTACCGGCGCGAAACTTCGCAATATGCAACGGGGTTTGAAAATTTTCCAATCTCCCCCTCCCCCCCCTCTCTATCTCTCTCTCTCTCCTTCTCTTTTCTTCCTCGACAACCTGCCGCTAATGAATATAAAGTTGCGGCCGTCGTCTGAAACTTTCTGAAATTGCCAAGTAGTGGCGAATTACCGCCGTGCCGCCGTATTCAACGAAGGAAAATGTCCGTACTAGCCGTTACGCATTGTTTTATTGTTTTCCGTCGCATTGCGCTAAGACCATTTGACGGAACAAGAGGCAATAAAAGGCGCTTTTCTTGATCACTCTTTGATTATTCAAGTTTCTTTGCTTATACAAAAGATTGGAGAACTTCGAGAAACTCGCGAAAATTACTAAGATATTACTGCGAATTGTCGTACCTTAGATTACAATAATGATACATTTACATTTTACTGATGTCCTTAATGTTGTATGAAAAGCTGGCATTTTATAAAAATTCATAAATTATGACAACTTTAATATTTGATAGTTTAAGCAAATAACTTTAACAAAAAAATGTTTTAAGACAAACTGAGATTGACAAGTGAGCAAGTATTCGCACAATATTTTATTTTATTCTGCGAGACTTTTCTCATCATTCTTTTCGTTCTTTTCATAGATTTTTAAATAATAAAAGGAGATTTATAAATAATGAGAGAAATAAAGACGAAAAGAAAACATTATTTCGCACGCTCGGTTTTTTTATAGAAAATAAAGAGGAATAATTAACTCTATTCCAGATATTCGATTTTTTGTTTTATAGGATAAACGTGCTGACCGCGCAAAAATAAAAACAAAAGATATTTTTGAAAATTGATAATTTTTTTCTTTTTTTAGGCAAACGCGTCTATCTATTTTCCCGTGAATTTTTGTTGTATCTTTAAAATAAACCGGGTAGGAAGAGGGATAAACAAATGGCTCGAAGTTTTGGAACGAACGGATATAAATCCTTGCCTTGGAAACGACACATCTCTATTATTCATGTCGGACTAAAAGCTTCTCGAACTGTACAGAATTCGCGAGCGTTTCCTCGCTTGATGACATTATCCGTCTTCCGCGGTTTACATAATTTGTCGGGTTTATCTCGTCTAACTTCTCGCGCATTCCTTCATGCAGTGATTTGTATGCGTCTAATCTTATCCGCGCTAAGTCTATTTTATATACATACATAAATATATACAATATAACAAATAAACGCAATGAAGATTTATGTCGATACTTTCCGATGCGCGGATTTCGATTTTTCTCAATATCGTAATCTACGATAATAAAATTTTCTAAACTAAGCTTCGCTGCAAAAACGGTATCTTAGATGATTCTATCATTATCGATACAAAATCGCAAAAAAAAAAAAACCCAAGAAATATAGTCGGTTAGTAAGCATATAACTGTAAAATAATGTCTTGCTCTTATAAGCGTATAAATATTTTTTTATTTATGTTTAATATTTTTCATGGAAATAATTACGATAATGTTTCGTCAAGGACTAGAATTCATGGAAAATAATTTATAATCTGGTTAGAGAACCTTATGAATGCGAAGGTGGTGTAAAATTTTTAAAGCCTTTTCTTGCACTCTTCTTGATTGCTACAATAAAATATGAATGTTGCTACCGCGTAGCAATTATATTAACAACCGTCTTCCTACACTTCCATTTACATAATATTTCATCACACCGCACATTTGCATTTTCGCTCCGTAGATAAATCTTTTACCACTAACAAGCCGCAATTATATTAAAGCAGACGAAGTTACGAGAGCAAAATATACTTTTGGCAACATGAAATCCACGTAAAGCACGTCTCGCTTAAATTTGTCCAACGATTCTCTCGTTGTTGCAAACTTGTCAGCCATTCGCTCGAGGCGACGAGCACTACTATACCGAAAGTTGCAGGAATAAATGTTCGTATCAATTGACGTCCGGGTGTACTTCGCGCATCTCCGTCGTGAACGAAGTACGCTGCTGGAATATCAAACAGTTCGTTTGAATGCCGATTTCTATCGACAGAGATAGAAGCGAGCTAACGAGGATAGATCGAGAGACTCCTCGATGAGACGCGGACGGAGTCTCAAAAAAATTTTATTTGCCAGCTTTGATGTATATATAAAAAGATACCCACGCTTTGCGATATATCGTTTTTCTCTAGAAAATCATGGCCTAACATTTTAATAATAAGTTTTAATTACATTTATCTTTTATTGAGATTTATTTTTTATTATCACTAGGCTTATAAATAATATATCCTGTAACAGCATTAAAGAATTTTAAAGCATCGCCAATATACATTTTGTGTTATATCTTGTATTAAATAAACGTAAAAGCGCGAAATAAAAAGATGAAAGTGTTCGGCAGAGAATGAAAACAGGCTGGAAAGAGAAAGAGATTATCGAAATTTTTCCGTGAATGATCACTGTTCATGGCATGCGTTAAAAGAGGAATCGGGGGATTTATTCCTGGACAGACGAGGACTGGTGGCACGTTCTGCTTTCCACTCTGTTAAATTTCTGTCCGTCCGTCGTCGCGTCAGAAAGGCTACGCTTCCCTCTTTTGTACGCGTAGATTGGGGTGGGGAAAAAAAGTTTCAATCTCCTGCGAAACAAGCTTTCGCCGACGTCATAAAAGCGCGCCCGGAAGCGTATTGACGCGCTCTCATCGCGGCTTGTAATCCAGCGATGATACGCCAGCCGATGCGTAATGAGTAGTTCATTGAGCAGTAATACTCAACCCGGAGAACTAAAAAAATTAGCAGAGAGATAATGAGATGTGTGTGGAAATAAAACAAATATTTGATAAAAGATTTTTTATTGAAATAATAATTATATGAAAAAATGTTTAATAAGATATTAGAGATCTGTGTAATTTTTACAAATATAAATGAATAATTCAGTATGAATATTCTTATTTGACGTGATTCAAGTACTGATTGTGAGGTACTTATTAAGAGGTAGATTCTAAAGCCCTCAAATTTTTGGATAACTGCGAATGATAATTTCTGAAATTTACTCATTTTTTAAAAATTGATATATACTTTTCTCTATATTTTCTCCTTTAATCGTGCGAGTTTACATGCTAAAGGGGAGTGGCTCACCGCGATAAATTAATGGCTTCATACGTTCCCGATATTTCGCAAGTTTCGCGCGCGAAGCAGCAGCTGCGTCTGACCGTGCGCGGCGCGCATTCACTTGGCGGCCGTTAGTAGTGCAGGCATGATAAGGTCGGCCATTTGGCTGACCACTTTCAGATATTACCACTTGCAGTTTCCGCCGAGCTTCCCGACTTAACATGAACGATCATATTTCTGGTTTATGTGTACAGCGGCCGCTTACACGTACATTGTAAATCATTGTTTATAACCCGTGCGAGATTGGATGGACTCTGGTGATAATCCCATGCCTCGGAACGCCTTGATTGTATATAATGCGGGAAAAACGGTGCAGCAAAATGTTACAACGAAACGATATACTTGTTAATGGCAAATCTTTTAGTTTCGCTTTATTTATGTTTTATTTTAACAACGAGAGCGATTCCTACTTTTTATAAAAGTTCCATGGTTTTAACGAGGAAATATCTGTGCGTTGCTACATAATTTATTGTTGTGTCATGGTAAAGAATTATTAACACGAAATAGAACCGAGAGTGATTTATCTCTCATCGATGCAATCGGTCATAGCGACACGCAATGGTACCGCCATGCATTATGCATTGCGGTTCATGTAAGGAGATAGTAGAATTTCTTTTATTGCCTAGATACATATAATAAAGATATCATATGCCTGTGCATGCGAGGCATATGAAATTTTACCGCGATAATTTGATACAATAATTATTTTATGACGTCAAGTTTGCCTTTCAATTTTCGAATCACGGAATGACCTTTTGGTCCTACCCGTTCTAAACTGATCGACTGTTTCACATTATAATGCCGCGCGAATATTTTTTAAGGAAACATCTAAAATATTTGACAAATCTTTCCGTCTCGCTAATTGCACTGTGCGCGTTGTTGTTTATCGCAAATGAAGCAATGCTTCAACGTACCGCGAGAACAGCCATTATTACGCTCCGCGTCAACTCTGCGTTGCCGTGTGTATTATGTCAACGTATATTACGGTGTAACTCCGACGCCAAAGTATCGCGAACTAAAGTTTGCAGCCGCATCGCCGAGTTGCCGTTTGCGCCATTTATTACTCACGACAGTCTCCTAAGCATCTCCTTTTTTATTGATTTACTTGCCGTCGTTCGCGGCAATTATTTCACACGCCTATCAATCATCCATCCTGCGATAGACATGCTAAAACACCGATGTTGATCTTTCCTTTCACTTCATAATAATTCTCACTAGCTTTTCTTACGAAGATTTAAATATAAATACAAATTATGGATATTTTTAATGCAGGTATAAATTGAAATATAATTATAACGATATATGAGATATACAAATGTGCGATATAAATTAAAATGTTATTTTGCTTTGTAGTTCTTCCTGTTTTTATCACGTGAATTTTCAGACGTACGGTTTTTCTTTTTCCGACGACAGTCGGAGGTGTTTCAGGCTGCGGTTGCGGCAGCCGCAGCTGCAGCTGCGGGAGGTGGCGGTCAACAGCCCGCACCAACACCGGGCGGCAACGAGACCAACCCCGAAGGCGGAGTGGAGGCCGCTACGTTGGTACCTGTCACCTCAGGCGCGACGACACCTGCAACAGCGACACAGGGTACCGACCTCAAAGGTCAACCAAAACGTCTGCACGTCAGCAACATACCCTTCCGCTTTCGAGATCCTGATCTTAGAGCAATGTTTGGGGTAAGTATGATTTCTTTCTCCCAGCTTGTTTATGTCGACATCCTTCGCTGTCAGGAAGGTTTGCTTGTCGCTCATTTGATTGCGACGTACGCAAGATAATTAAAAATCTCTATATACGTTGCAGGCCTTTTGTAAAATTTGTAGCTTGTTTACAAAAAAATTTATAAAGGCGAATATTTTTTTTTTTTTTCATTCGACAAAGATACATATCAAATCTTTAATAATTTGCACAATGTTATTCTCTAGGCACACATTTGATCATTTTATTTATTTTTCGCAATCACTACTTTGTCAAATATATGAAAAAAACTGTGTGAAGAGTTAATATCTATGTTCATCAATTTAATACTTATTAATATGAATGGAAAATTAAATTTATTAATATGAATGGAAATTCGAGGAAAAGCTTGTGATATAATCAACTAATATAATTATACAATTATTAACGTACGACAATTTAATTAAAGGATTAATAAAATCAGGAAAGCTTTGTATCAGATTTCCTTTGATACCATGATTGAAAATTTCATTATAATCTGTGTCAGTATATTAATATTATAATATTTAATATTATATATTAGCATTATATAATATGTTTAGATTTTCCGAAAAATCGAGTTTTTAGGAATTTTTACTTTATTTATGTTTATTGATAACATATCTATGATATATTACAATATTAATATCATATTATTATATTCTAAACTTGATAAATATATTCTCTTTTCAGCAATTTGGGCCAATCCTGGATGTGGAAATCATATTTAACGAAAGGGGAAGTAAGGTAAGCTCACATCGAGCCCTTGGGCTGCGAGCCACCCCTGTCAACCTGCCCCTGATAATACCGTTAATTTTAAGCTAATATCATGCTGAACGAAATTCTCGCATCCAAAACGAATGTATTTTTATGTTCCCTCTTTTTAAAACTATATACTAAACATATAATTCGTATTTATTTGTGTAGAAAGCAGCTTAAAAATATGTACTTTTTGAGAATTTATAATAAAATATATATCTTTCACAAAATCAATAATTTGAGATAAATCGAAATATTTTTGGAAATCGCGTTACACAATTTTATTATTTTCGCAGTTATTATTTTCAAAATATTTATTACACAGGTTTCATCTTTTTCGTCCTTTGCTGTTCATAGCAATCGTGAAAATTGACGCTGTAAACGTGACTCGATTTTTCTATCGCGTATATATATATGAATTTCTCCCGTTTATTTATTGAAATAGTTTTCCGAGAATGTTCTGGAAGCGAGGATGTCGTGGAAGCTATAATAATTTTGTTAAGGGATGCAGCATCACGAACGCTCGATACATATGTGTTCGTATATATATAAAATATTCGATATGAGAGGACAAGGCTGAAGGACTAATATTAAATCCCAGAAAAATAGCAATATCCCTTGATGAGAATACGAAAACGTGATGCTGCAATCGTTATACACTCTTTTTTTTTCAGCGCGAAGGCGACATTTCGTTAGCGTGTTTGATATAATCTTGATATAAAATTGCGAAGTGCCATTGTCAGTTATCGTTTTTTTTCGTCTTTAATCACCGACGTTATGCAATTTTAAATAATGACTCCGATGTTTTCGAATAATATTTTCCGAATTTTCATGCACGAATAACTGTCGAACTTTAGTCTGTATTTAAATGTATTGCATTGCGACTTCTTGCGTAATCTTATAATTACAGGCGATGAATATCTCTTATCGAAACGACAAACTCGATTGCGACGCTCGTTCTTCGTATTTTTCTTTTTTTTTCAATTATATCGTTTCCATCTATCGATCATTTCCGTCGTTTTTGCCGAGTTTTTTTCTACGGTTATTCTCTCTCGGAAGCAACCATATTAATTCTCGATGGAAGCCAGAAAACGTCGCCGGAGATCATAGTTACAATCACCGACTGTTTACGCTAACAGCGTCGCGCAAACGTACAATTTGATAAAAAAAGGAAATGTTCTCGCATGTAAACGAGTTTGAAATGCAAATTGCTTTCAATATGTATGACAACGGGGAGAGAGGTCGGGATAAGATCCGCAGTAATACATCGTGCCGACAGTCGGCATCCGGCAAACCGGCCGGTGTGCATATTCAGCGTCTTGGCGTCAAGTACACCCAAGTGCACTTCATCAAGTCGCACCGGTAACCCAGTATTCCACCGACGTCTGCAGACGTTACGCGTGGCGACTTGTCACTGATTATACGTGGGCGAGGTCGTATCTCGAGTCTATATATACATTTAGTATGTTCTTTTCCAAAGCATCTTGATACATATTTCAAAAATTATCTCTAGATCCAAAAATATCGTTTTGACTTATATCCTTGATCAATCTTATAAATCTGGACGAGACGCCAGAATGTTCTCAATTTTTCACAATTATTTTAAAAGCGATCGAGAAACCTTCTTTTGTATTCTGATGATTTCTAAGTTTCTTCAATATTAATTCTTGATACCTTGAAGAAGATGTTCTTCGTATTCGATTACATCAGAAAACCTAAACTGGTGATAATTTGAAAATATTTTTAAGAGATGGTAAAATATTGTTTCAATTTGTTATTCTCGAAAAGAACGAGACTTGGATATATTTATCTGAAGTTATTTCACGAGAAGGGATTGCGTGGGAACGGGTAGCTTGTAAATAATGCCTTCTGAGCATAAATTTACACACGATATTTCCGGCTAGTTAAAGTACAAAATTCAAGGAACTTTATACAAGAATATCGCGAGAGATTAGTCTCGCAGGAGTTTGACCATTCCAATCTCTCGGGTTTATTTCGAAAATTCCTTCAACCTTATGTTATCTCATCGGCAATGTTTTCGATTTCATCGATGCCATTTTGTAACTAAGTTCTTTGTGCAATAAGTGCATCAAAGTCACGCAAAATACTATTATACTTTTTAACAGTCGTATCATGCTCTTTTTTTCGCGTTATACTTTGCAATCGGCTTTCCCAAACGAATTCTTGCCGGCATTATATTACTATTTTAAGATTTGCAAGAGAGATCGATGTTTCAATTACTGTGCTCGGCAACCAATTAGTGCGCAGACAAAAGCTCGACGTTTCGCGTGCTAGAAATGAAAATAATATTCCATATATCCGCGTTTATTCGTAAATGTATTTATTCGAAATCACAAATTTATAATGTAACTTATACTGTAATTTACTGATATAAATTTTCGAGAGAAAAAGAATACATAACGTCAATCGAGGGAGTAAGACTCAACAATCACATACGTATTTGTCGTCGATTACATCATTATGGTTGAATATCCGGTACGTTTGACGGGCTCTACGGACAGGAAGTCGATGTCGCGGCGCATCCGTACTTGTAACGACCAATCACGGGACGCGATATAGAATGCGAAATGGGTTGCTTCCAGCTTCCGAAGGGCGGAACGCGTCGGCGACGAGGGAACTAATTAAACTCTTGCGCGACTCGTTAATTAGCACGCCCAATCAACGACTGCGAACGAGGTTCGAGCGATGCATGTTTTTTACTTGTATTCGCGCATTGCGGCTCAATCGGTGCGGATCGGTCACGTGAAAGCGGCTTAATCGAGAAAACACGTGAAAGAAATCTCGCGATAAGGGAACACGGTCGAGCACTCACAACCCGACACTGCTAATATTTCGTTGCCGTATTACGGTCAATTTGTTACTTATTCTCGGTGCTCACGTGACTGACCGCCGTTCATAACAGTATAGCTCGTACACGGTTTAATCCATCATTTTGTTTATTTTGTTTTTGTCGTGTTTCACGCCACGTATAATTTGACACTCGCATAGCAATAAGATATTTATAAATATGATTTTTAAAACGGATAAACGGTTGCTTGTCAAACTGCACTCGATAAAAAGGAGAATGTCGCATAATCTCACGGCGAAATTGACGATATTTGACTGTATAATTTCACCGTAACTATATCTATCGCTATATATGCGAGTCATTCGGAGGAGCAATTACGCGTACGCGTTACATTAGAAATCCTGCGGAAATCGAGTCGACAATGGCACTATCGCCTTGCCCTTTGCAATGCAAATATTCTCCGCGATGCCGCCGCTGGCACGCAGTAAAGCACACGCGGAATTTACTTGGAACGGTATAAGTGTCGCCGTCGCTTTTAGTGCTTAAGTGATTCCGAGGGCGTGACGGGATCTGATGCTTCATGCGGCACGCTATTAAGGGACGAGCGAATAATTATTAATCCAAGATCTAAGACGTCGACAGTATATTGTTGAGTATAAAGCCGGGCCTTTAAACATTTTAATGACATTTACGCGATCGTTTCAAGAAATTTCATTATCTGCATTGTCTACCGTGTCAGGAAAAGAGATGTCAAAAATATAATGTCGTAGCATTTGTACGACACAGTAATTATGCTACGAAAAGAGAAATTATCTATTAGAGATAAAATAATAATTGATGATTTAATAATTGAAAATATAACAAAAGAAAAATTTAAATTGTGCTATTTGTATAGTTTACAGATCGCGATATTTTCAATTTTTGAAGCGACAAGATCCCGTTACGAGCTTCGGTAGAAATTTTTCAATCGTCACACATTGCTTTTGTAGAATGCACGTGAAACGACGATTTTACGCGTCGGATTTGATAGCCGATTCAACGCTGATATTTTTTGCCATCGATAAAGTTTCGGAACAAAAAAAAAAAAAAAAAAAAAATGAAAAATTCCATTGTTGGGCAGAACGAGTTTATTTAGCAAAATATTATGCATCTTTTTTTTTTTTTGAGGGGGGAGGAAAATAATCTCTGGACTTTTATATCAAGGTGGCAATTTTGGCCGCGACTTGACATCGATATGTGCCGGCGGGTGAGAATATCTGTCGGCGAAAGAGTTGCGGCGAGTGTGCGACCAGTAGAGTAGTTCTTTCATTGGCGGAGAACACAAAGGGCGAGAGAAAGAGAGAGGTGCGATGGAGTAGAGAGAGGGAGCACGGCGCGAACAAAGCGTGACCGAGCTCTCTAGGAGTGAATATGGAGATTAAATTGGGTGACAAGGCGGTATACTCTCTCTTGAGCCAGTCATTTCGGAAAAAAAAAAAAAAAAAAATGGAAACGTCACTTGCATGCTGCAAAAGCAACGTGCCATTAATTATAAAACAAACGAGTGAGTGATCATGTGTGAGAGAGACCTTTTCTCGAAAGCTTCGTCAATGTAAATGGAATGTGGCATCCCTAATGAAGTGCAGCATTTTGGAAAAAGAGATACTTGAAACTAAGGTGGGAAAAGAGCGCAAACCGAGAATATCCGTCCTAATAAGTCTCTTTTTTTTCTTTCTCCTGTCATACATAATATATATTTATACATGTGTATATATATGTTTGTGTATATATATATTTGTATATATTTATAGATCTATATTAGCAAAAACATGGCGATAAAAGTAAGTAGCTATTGTTTTGTTAACATTAATTATAAAAGATAAAATTTATATCTTTGATACACAGTACGCGATTAATACTTTACGGTACTCGGTGCGCGCGCTTTTCCGTCACCGCGTATGTGCTAATGACACGTACATACATATACCGATATAACCAATGGTGTTAGTTCTCGTAGTTGTTAGACGAGCTGTTGCATTTTTACTAGCTAGCCTTCCGCATTTTATCATTATTTAGCTCCCATTGGTTATAAGACCGGTCGTTGCATCTCGCATATCGGGTGTCCGCAGCTGCCCATGATAAACAGCATTGCACGTACAAAAAATTCCAGAAAGTATAAACAGCCATTCTATTAGTCTAG